TTCTTCCCTGGCCTTACCATCTCCATGCTGCCCAGCAGAAGCTCCTCCTGCTTACACTCCTCAGGCTGTTGAGGGTCACTACACTGTGTCTTCTGGAAGAGATTCCGGGGAAATGTCATCAGTTGAAGAAGATTTCTATAGGACTCATTCTCAGCCACCTCCTCTCGAGACCTTAGGGATGGATGCAGATGAATTGATTTCGATACCAAATGGAGTACAGATTTATTTTTTTGGAAATCCTGCCGGGGAGGTGAGTGCACCTTCATATCCTGGGTACCTTCGAATTGTGAGGTTCTTGGATGATTCCCTTGATACAGTTCTAAACTGTCCTCCTGGGTTTCTTCAGGTTTGTGACTGGTTGTATCCTGTGGTTCCTGATAGATCTCCGGTTCTCAAATGTTCTGAGGGAGCCTACATGTTTTCTGATACAATCTTACAAGCAGCAGGATGCTTTGTGGGCTTGGTCTTTCCTCTGAGCTACCAGAAGATGACAAGAGAACTCTGAGGATTTGTTAAGACAAATGTCTGACCTTCGACTCCAGGCCAACTGGAACAGAGCAGAAGGAGAAAATGAATTTCAAATCCCTGAAAGACCAAGATACTCCTCTGACCAAGTGAAAGCAGCCTCTGGTAGTGATGTGAGTCAGTTAGACCCTTCATTAGGCCAAGGCAACAAGGACGTGCATCATAAAGGAAAATATAAGAGAAAGACTAAAGATACTTCAAATGAAGACATTAATCTGAGTCACATGGTACCCTGTGAACCAGTTTCAGAAGAAAAAGCTAAAGAATTACCTGAGTGGAGTGAGAAAGTGGCTCAAAACATTTTGTCAGGTGCTTCCTGGGTGAGTTGGGGCTTAGTCAAAAGTGCTGAATTTACTGGTAAAGCAATCCAAAAAGGTGCTTCTAACCTCTGACAATGGATTCAGCCAGAGGAAAAACCAGTGGAAGTTAGTCTGGCTGTCAGCAAGGGACTTTATATAGCCAAGCAGGCTACAGGAGGAGCAGCTGAAGTCAGCCAGTTCCTGGTTGATGGAGTTTGCACTGTAGCGAATTGTGTTGCAAAACAATTAGCTCCCACATTAAGAAGCATGGAAGCAAACTCGTTCCAGAATCTCTTAAAGGAGACAAAGATGGAAAGTCTACCCTGGATGGTGCTATGGTTATTGCAGCAAGTAGTGTTCAAGGATTTTCACCTGTCTGGCAGGGATTGGAATGTGCAGCTAAATGCCTTGTTGACAATGTTTCAGCGGAAACCATACAGACTGTCAGATACAAACATGGGCATAATGCAGGAGAAGCTACACACCATGCAGCGGATTCTGCCATCAGTGTTGGCGTAACTGCCTAGAATATTGACAACACTGGTATCAAAACAATGGTGAAGAAAACTGCAAAGCAAACAGGAGAAAAACTCCTTGAGGACTATCAAATAACTGATAATTCTCAGAAGGAAGGTGAAGAAGGAATGTCAAATGCAAAAACGAGAAGACAGAAGGATGAGAAGAAAGAAGCAAAGAAGAAAGATAAATGATGAAAGTGCCGGGAATTACCTATACCAAAGCCTTACCAAATGGAGGAAATAAGCAAATACGGAATTCTCCACAGATTAACTACTATTTTTTGAATGTATTCATTCCTATCAAATGACCGCCATAAGTGTTCTGGCATGTATTCCATTTACAAGGAAAACAATCAGCATTCTTGCATCTAGCCTTTAGAAATAATGAAGTTATATTCTCAGTAAGTTTATTTTTGCCCTAAATGTGGCTAAAATATTTTTGCAGTTAAAATAAAGCTTATAATACATGAGCTATAAATCTCACTAAACCTAATGTTAATATTTTTCTATCTGCTGTCTTTCAGAAAGAAAAGTAGGAAATTATATATTTACATAAAATCTGGTATTTAGTAACCTTAGCTCTATTTATACTGGGAAAGAATGACCTCTAAAATACTGTATTTTCTTTTTGCACTGTGGATCTCTTTAGGTGCTTGTCTGAATTTTCAATGTGTGAGCTAAATAAAAACAATCTAAAAGAATTCTTAGATTCCATTTTCAAACAGGGAAGAGATTGATCATGAAAAATGAAAATGAGACTCTTTAAAACTATTTGGTAGCTTGCCTGTCAGGAAATGAGGTCTTTTTCATTTAAAATGAATAAAAATACATCTTTAAGTCTTTTAGATTGTGACTGGTTTTGATGTATTTACAAAACTAGTATATTTTGCAGTATTTTATTTATATATTAATTGGTATGCTTTAGGTATACAATACATTTATATTTATCATTGGGTGCTTGTACCTGTACATGATGTATCTTAGTTCTTATTTTTTCCCCATTACCTGTGCGCTTCACCCCCTCCACCCTTCCCTATTTACATAGACTTCATTTCTATTTTTTTTCTTTTCTCATAATTTTTCCTTTCCCTTCTTTCCTCTCCCCTTCCCCTCCCGCCACCTCTCCACCCTTGGACCTTTTCCTATTTCAAATTATCAGTTTATATTTTGCAGTATTAAGTAATTGAATTTACTGATGTAAATGTATTTTTATTTTTTGATTCATTCATTGAAATTTGTATTTCAAAGCTAATAAGTGACAAGGAAAGGTTCTATTTGTGATCAAGGTAGAGAGATGAAAACCTTAGCTTAACCCATGGTTGGTAAGCAGGAGCAGTTTCTACTTTGGTGGAAGCCAGGACACTCTGATCTTTAAGCTGAAAATATGTGAGTAAAGGCCTAATGACTCTTTATGCTTACTGATTTTTAAAAGATTAATACTAGTATTTGTAGCTATCATCTATATAATCATTTCTGAACTTCTAGTGGCTAGTTTATCAGACTTTATTTGAAACTAGCTAAAGAATGCACTTTGTGAATAAAGAAATTCTCTGAAAAAAAAAAAAGAAGAGGGGAACCTTGGGCCTCTAAGACAGGTCCAAGAAAGACCGTGGATGCTTGAAATTTAAGAGATATGCACGCACATCTCAGCATTTATGTAGTATTTTCTTGAAACTTGGAAAAAGCAGATGGAGGACAAAAAAGAGCAGGTGCCTTTGAACATATGGTAAACAAAGAATTCAGCAGCCCAGCATATAATACAGGGTGACGATACGATAAATAAATAGGTTAGAAGAATTCAGATAATTGATAGATGACAGGTGACTGAATCATGAAATATATATTATTTAGCCAAGTGAAAGACAGCATGGTTCAAAACGTTCAGTGGGAAGTGGCCCAGATTCAAACTTTTAAGAGGATGAAATTGCAAATTGGAGTGTTCAGTATGATCCTGGGGTTTTTTTTGGGGGGGGGGGGTTGGGGGTTGTTTTTTGTGGTACCAGGGCTCAAACTCAGGACCTTGCACTTTCGAGGCAGGTGGGGTGCTACTGAGCTGAATCCCCGGCCCTGAAATTGCAAATTAATAGAAAAATTAGGTGCTTGTCTCCTCCTCCCTCTGGCTCACTTTCCGCCGCACGTTGCACGCGTTTCCACGCTCAGCACCAGGAGGGAGGGACGGGAGAGACAGCCTGGGACCTCGGAGTCTGGGGTCCAGCGGGAAGGAGTGGAGCCGCCAAGCCCCTGTGTGAGGAGCGCACCTTCCCTGGGGTGTTCGGGGCTTCCTGAGTCGTCGGACGGGACGCAGTGGCGGAAGAGGAGAAAGGGAAAGAAAGAAAAGGGGCTGGGCCTGGGCGGGCTCGGTGGGAGAGCGCTTGCCTCGCGCGCACACGGGACCTTGAGTCTGATGCCCAGCGCCGGGAGGAGAGGGAGAAGGGAGAAAGGGTGGATAAGAAGTAGAAGAGGAAGGAAGGGGAGGGAGAGAGAAGCGAGGAAGGCGCACGAGAAAGCCCGGCTTGTGAGGGTCAGGAGCCGGGCACCAGCAGGGCTCCAGCCCACAGGCTCCGATGGCTGTGGGCAGATCTCGTCCAGGAGGGCCGGGGCAGGGCGCGCAGGGCCCGCTGTGACCCAGGGCTGCTGTGTCCCTGTGTGCAGCCCCCAGAGGAAGCTGTATGGGGTCCCCTAATCCTCTGCTTCCCGGTGGGAGTGGAGGAAATTCTACTCTTTTCCTTCCTTTCCTGCGGAGACAGGGACTGCCAGCCCTCCAAGGGGGAGATTTGAATGAAAAAAGGGGGAAGCTGGAGAAGAGGCGTCCCCCGGAGCAGACGTCCGCTCTCCCCCTCCTCCCTGCGCCCCAGGGGCCCCCAGACCTTCTAGGGGTTGCTCGCCCTGCGGGGCGCTCGCTGGGTTTTCTGGTTGCTTCTTTGATGTGCTGCGACCAAACCCAGGGCCTTAGACCTGCGTTTAAATGCCCTCCGGGATGCGTTCGGCCAGAACCACCAGGCGCCCCAGGACGAAAGCCACTAGTGAGGCCAGCTTTCCCGCGTGCCTGTGAATGACCCCGTGAAGCGCCCAAGGTCCCCATCCCAGGAACCCACTCACCTGTCCTCGTGGCTGGTCCAGTCCAGGTTTCCCTGCGGCTCCCGGAGGCACCCGTGGGTCCTCTCCTACCACACGGGATTCACCCTGGAGGACTTTGCCCCGAGCCCCACATGGCAGAGGGCTTCCCCTGCTCCCGGCCACCCAGGCCGCTCTGTGCCTCTGGCCTGGGTGCCAGAGGAAGGGAAGGGGCTGTTTTCACTGGGGCACTTCCATACCGCACCCAAGGCAGGACCTCCCCGGGACCTCCATGGGAGGAGATGGGAAGAGGGGCCACAAGCAAGGGGTGGACCTGGGGTTAAACCCAGGTCTGAGCCGGGCGTGGTGCTTCGTGCCTGTAAACTCAGCACTCTGGGAGGCTGAGGCAGGAAGATCACAAGTTTGAGGCTGGCCTTGGCAACTCATCAAGATGCCGACTCAAAATAAAAAAATTTAAAAAGGACAAGGTGTTAGACAGGTAGATGTTAGCAGGCCTTCGGGGCCAAGAGGGGTCCAAAATAGCATGCTCTGCCGGTTACAGTTAAATGAAGAAACAAAGACTTCAACGTACGATACATTTATGACCATTTATTAGGTCTCAGACCCCAAACACAGGGCCTTGATTTCTAGAACAAGGCATACAGCATTCCTTGTTGCCATAGCCTACAGACCAATGATACCACAAACAGAAACTTCTTTAAGCAGGACCCTTCGGCCTTGGGCTAAGAGCTGATTTAGATTAGAATTTCTCTTTCATAAGCTTCTTTCACAAGTTTCTTACATGTCTAAGGCCCCTGTGGGAACGCTGACCATCTGAAAAGAACTAGGAAGATATTTGGCAATTCCACAGCAACCTCTAAGAAAACTAGTCAATAAGCATCATAATCCCACAGTTCCCTGAACCCGGGAAGTAACTCCTGCAAGCACAAGAAGAGACCCGAACGCACTCTCAGTGCAGATGCCTATCTGGTACTGCTCCCTTCTCCACTGAGGTGTAACTCTCCCTAGATCTGCGTCATAGTAAACTCCAGCTCTGCTCTTGCATGCCTACTAACCCTGTGTCTTGACTGAATGCAGGAAACTAAGGGCTGAGGAAATTGAAGCCGTCCAGACCTGGTTTTCTGTTGACACTGGGAATGTAGGTCAGCGACTAGGCCCTGGGTTCAATCGCCAGTACTGCAAAAAACCAAAAACTCAGGTCTGGCAAAGCCCAGAGCCTATTAGTGAGGCCCAAGACCCTGCTTGGCCAGTCAATAAGGACTCTTCCACCTCGGAGGCCCCGGGTGGAACCCAGGGCCTTGCACATGCTAGGTAAGCCCTCTACCACTAAGCTACATTCCCCCTGCAAATGGATTTTTAAAAGCTCTCCAGATGGTTCCAGAACCTTACCCACCTCTGCCAGTCCACTAAGGTCCATGGGAGGGCCTGGACCGTTAGCTAGAGGATGGAAAGAGCTATGGCAAATGTATCTTATTTTGGGTTATTTGAGCTGTGGTAACAGAACATACACTGGGAAATTCATACAAAGCAGATTTATTTCTTACAGTTCTGGCAGTGAGCAAGCCCAGGATCAAGGTGATTCTGGTGACATCCTTCTTGCTGCTTCTTCATTCCATGGCTGGAGGCAGAAGGGCAGGACTGCATGAGACTGAGTGGCCAGGAAGGGAGCTGAACACATCCCTTCACCGGGACCCACTCCCAGGATAAATGACCCATTCCTGTGGTAACTCCATTAACCCATTTTGGAGTGAGGAGCCCCAGTGACCTAAATACTTCTTATAGGTCCTACCTCTGGTGGTTGTGTTTAAGATTAAGTTTCCTTCCAACATACAAACTTTGTGGGGGCACATTGAAACTCTCAGGATTGTTCTCCAGCTCCCTTGGGCTCACCATTACTCATTTCATACCTCTCCTCCTTGGGACCAGCAAGGCCAGGAAGTTGGCAGATTTCAAAGGCAGCTGTTGGTAACATTCTCAGAAATGGGATTCTGGGCACCTTGGTCTTTTCTCTGGGTGCTGCTTAAAGGGATGGCCCTTGAAAATAAACCAAGCCCTGAGGCCCATAAGAATCCAGGGTAAGGCTGTGGGTGTTGCTCAGTGGTAGAGCCTGTGCTTAGTTTGCATGAGGCCCTGGGTTCGATCCACAGCACTGGTAAAAAAAAAAAAAAAAAAGTGTTAATGCCATGGTTTTCTCTTTCTTCTTGTGAATATATCAGTCTTGTGAATGACTTGGAAATGTTTAGGGCCGCTTGGAACACATTTGCTACCAGTAATAGCCTAGGTCATTGTCAAATGGTTCAGAACCTCAGTCCAGAATTTTGCAAGAATCTTTCTTAGCTACAAAATCAACACATCTCTAGTCCTTTCTGTGAGTCCAGGGAGTGCTTTCTTTACCTTTGCTTAAATTCTTTTAGTTGTCTTTTCTATAATACCAAAGAGAGGGGCTGGAGATTTAGCTCAATGGCACCGTGCCTGCCTCACAAGCACAAGGTCCTGAGTTTGATCCCCAGTTCCAAAAAAACAAAAAAAAACAAAACCAGACAAACGAACAAAAAGAGAGAGACCCCTGGCCTGTAACTTGCACCAACTGGACACTGCCTGGGCCTTCCTGCCATGTGTTCTTTACATCCGTCTTCACAGTGATTGGATTTGCTGTTCCACTCTCCAGGCTGTCATACTACCTATCACCCTGTCACATGGTTGGGTGCTCAATCCCAGTGAGGTTTATTGTTGACCTAACATCACTTTACCTAATTTTCATCAAAACCCCTAAATGGGCAGCTCCCTCGAGATGCCTCTGTGGCTTGCCCTCCTGACTTCCTGAGAAGTCTCAGGCTCCTGTAGCTGGAGTCCTTTGGTTATGGGAGCAGTGATCTATGAGTTTGTCTGATTGGCTTATTTCTTGCACTAGTCTATTACTCACACTTCCTCCACCTGCTGGATTATCGATGAACATGAATCAGATAGGAGACCAGGCTTCCGGGGAAGCCCCCCTTTCCCCTAAAGTGAGAGCAGGGCAGCCACCACCTTCCCGAGGGTGTGACCCTCCTGTCAGGCATTGACTGTGCCTCATAATCTTGTTGGATTCTGCAAACAGACCACTGGGCTGGGCCAGGTGTGAACAGTGCCAGGTGACCCTGTGAATGATGAAGAAGCTCTGTGAGTCACTGCACATTCAGGTAGGGAAGGCAGAGGCTCTCTCTGCTCATTTTTCCTGCCAGCTAACCTGGCCCTCTCTGCAAAGCAGGATTTTCTTGGTGGTGGCTGGACTCAGGTCCCTTTAGGGCCGGTCCGGACAGCATTCAGCAAACAGGATCTGCTGGCCCTGTTTGCAGCGGGGCCATGCCAGGGGATTAGCCTGGTGGAGTTTTGAGGTGACAACTGACCTGGAGCCTCTACAGCAGGCAGCTTTCCTAGCTCTTGCCATCCTCTGCTCCAGAATGTCCTCCAGCACCTTCCTGCCCGGGTCCCTGCCCTGGCTCATGGCCCAGTGGTCTGAGTTCTACACAGCTGCCTTCCTGGCTGGAGTCCAGCAGAGCCCAGAGGACATGAAGTCCTTGCAATGCGAACAGTGTTGGTTTTGAGGCTGGGCTCTGCTTCCTGCCATTCTAGGTTCTCTAGGGCTCCTGCCATGGTTCTGAGGATTTTAATAAAGATGCCTCTTCCCATCTTTCGCCTTGGGAAAGGGAGAGGGACTGGGGAGAGACAGCCACGGAGCTCAGTGTTTTACCTCCTGTGTGCTCTCTCTATGCATAGAAGGGTGCATGCGGTGACCTGGCCTGGTAGCATCATTGTACGGCAGAGGACAGTGAAGTCCAGGCAGGGAAGGGTCTTGCTCTGCGTTGCACAGGTAGTTCTTGGCTGGGCCAGAGCTGGCCCCAAACTCTGCTGGTGGAAGACCTCATCAGTGCACCTGCTATATTTTCTGTATGACAGTGACCAGTGTCTCAAAATACGGAGTGACATGATTACTCTGTCTTTCCTCTGCCCACACATCCCCTAGAATGCTGGGACTTTGGGCAGAGTCTTTGAGACTCTGTTTCTCTCATCCCCTCTGCATCCTTTGGCCTGAACAGCATCCGGCAAACAGTAGGGTCTCGATAAATGTTTGCTGTTGATTGACCGATGGGCTCTGTCCATTGCTCTTCATATGACTTATCTGCCAAAATGGAGAAACACTAAGGTACAGAAAACAGCTGATCCTTACCGGACTCCACTCAGAGGCCCGGGGCTGGGCCCAAAGTAAAAGGAGGAGAACAGAGCTGTGAATCACTCTTCGCTCCTGCCTTTGGCACACAGAGAGATTACCTCACCACCTCCGGGCAGGAAGGGTGGCTGCATTACTCACCTGCTGAGAGCGCAGGCCGCTGCGGGTTCCCCCGAAGGTTCACGAGGCCGTGCTGAGAAACCAGAAGCCACCGTGTGGCCGACCACGTGTGACCCGCACGGATGTGCAGAGAAAGGGCCCCAAGACACACGCATCTCAGGGAACAGCGTTAACAGCGGCTGCCCGTAAGAGGAGGGTTGGTTTTGGGGTGTGGTATTCAGGAAAGGGGGCTCTTATTTTTGTATGGTGTAAATTTTTATAGCATGCATGCTTGAACCAAAAACTACTACAGGGGCCGGGGATTTAGCTCAGTGGTTCCGCTGCCTGCCTCGCAAGCGCGAGGACCCGAGTTCAATCCCTGGTACCAAAGAAAAAACAAACCTAATATAAATAAGTAATAATTTAAAAATAATTTACTTTTTAATAATAAATTATAAATATATCATTATGTGATGAGGTATACGTTATAATGAATAATTTTTAAATTTTAAAACTAATTCTAAAAATAAATTCTCCCAAAGAATCTGAAGTAGTGGTGCTATTGTTGCCTCCTGTCTCACACCTTCTGTGTTCTTTCTTTCTTCCAAACGTACCAGGGCTATAGGTAGACCCAAGAATTTAAAAGCCTGACTTAAGCCGTAGCCAAATGGCCGAATTCAGACGCAGAAGAGGGTGCAGGCTGTGGGTGTTTACAGACCCCTGAGGAGGTGGTCAAAGGTTCCACTGGCCGGAGGGCCCCGTAGCTTCCCGGCTTCCGTGGACACGGATTGTCCCTCCCGGCCTGGAACACTACTCCTCCACAGCCTGCTTTCCTCAGCCCCCGTTTAGCATCTAAACAACACAGTCCTCACCTGGCAGCAAACAGTGCTTGGGTGACCCAGGAAAGGCTGCTTTCCACTTCAGGTGGCCTCTGACTTCCCTGGGGCACCTTGGCTGAGACGCTGGGGTTTCCCTGCCGCCAGTCAGGGGAAGGGAGCAGAGGAGGCCAGGAGGGAGTTCGCTCAGCAGCGCCCCGGGACAAGCTCCTTCCTGAAGAAATCGACTCCGTCTATCATATTCTTATCTAAAAATACGAGTCCCGGGGTGACATTGACATCTCCTAAGCTAAGATCCACAGCTCTGTGTTCCTCCAAGCAGGCTGGCCTGGCCGGAAAGTTTCCTCGACCCCCACAGGCACTTGGCAGGGTGGGACCTCTTTCAGGAAGGCCCTGGGGAGGCGAGGGCACTGAGGAGGAAGAGAGCGTCACCAGCTCTGAAGAGGTGGGAGAGGCCCAGGCTGGCTCCGGTTCCCAGGGAGGGAGCACACTTCCACCAGGAAACTGCCACAGCCCTGGGTCTTCCTGGTCCGGCTGGGTGTGGGGGCATCGCTGCTTCTGGCTGCTGCTGGGGAGGGCAGGACTGGGGACAGGGACCACAGGAGATCCTCCAGGGCTGGCAACCAATCTCAGATCAGGAGACAAAGGAGAGACTCAAAGGAAATACATGGGGTGGGGCAGCAAGAGGAGAAAGATAAAGACTGAGGTAATAGGAACCCCCAAACGGTAACCCCAAACACATCCCTGACAGCTGCCCCTGAGATGCTAGTTTGCTGAATGGGTGAAGAAGGGATTTTTCTGTGGCACAGTGCACATGGAAGAAGCAGAAAAATCATTGTTTCTCCCTGGAGTCACAAGGCTTCCTCAGCATGGCACTGTCAAGATTATCCTACTGAAGCCCGGCATGGCACACACCTGTAAATCCAGCCCTCTGGGAGGCTGAGGCAGGGAGATTGCAAATTTGAGCCCAGGCTGGGCAACTTAGTAAGACCTTGTTACAAAATAAGAAAGGATTGAAGATGCAGCCAGAGTGAAGGCCCTGGGTTCAGTCGCCAGTACTGCAGGAAAAAAACCAGTCTCATGTCAGTTTTAGGATGTGATGTGGGAAAGAAGTGTTCTCATCAGGGCTCAGTTTATGGGGGTTCCCAGGAGGAAGAGAGAGAGAGAGAGAGAGAGGGAGAGGGGCGCCCAGGAGTGTCAGCCACAGCCCTCTGTCCTGAGGGTGAGGCCAGCAGCCCGGGAGCCTGGTGACCTTCTCAGGGCCTCCGAGGGGCAGGCACGACTTTGAGGCAAGGCTGAGGTTGGCGGGCTGCTTCGTCAGCAGACTGAAGACCCTTGTGGTGCCTGGAGGGGCTTTGGCTCTTTCACTCTGCTCTCTGGCACCGCGGAGGACTCGGTTCTTCTCCGGACACCGAGGACCACTCGTTTCTGCACACGTTGGGGACCCAGCGCCCACCCCGTCCCCACCCTGCTGTGCCCTGGCCCCATGGCCTCTTCCTGCAGGCCCATCTCCCTCCCTCCGCTGCCTGGGACCAGGGCAGAGCCGCCACTCCGCCAGCCCTCCGCCTCTTTCCTCAACACCACCAGGCCCGCTTCCGGCTTCCGGCACGCAGACTGATCTCGCTATCCTCTGGTACTGCTCCCTGGAGACTCCTTGCCCCTGGGACGCAGTGCACGCAGCCCGAGGTCTCACTCTTTCCTTCCTTCCTCCTACCCCGCAGGACCCAACCTACCCGTGCATCCCCAGTGCGCCCCAATCTGGAACCTCACCTCAAGGCCCCCCTGACAACCCTGGCCCAATCCACCCCCTTCTTCTGTTGCCAGACGGACCAGCCCACTCCCTGCCCCCAGGGTCACCGCCATGATTCATTCCTTTCTCTTCCCTCTAATCTTCTCTCTGCATTATGATTCCCTCACATCCTCTCCCTTACTGGACAGGAGTTCTTGGGAGCTCCCTGAGCCCAGTGGTAGCACAGGCCTGGTGTGCCATGGACCCTCCGTGGCAGAGGCAGCAGGGAGAGGAAGGAGGAAGGTCCTAGGTCAGATGCTAACCTGACCTGGGCTCCGTAGCTTTTCTGAAGCAAAAGTTGCACTTGAGGGTGAGACCCGGGTGGGGTATGGCAGGGTGCACCTGTTCTCAGGTCCCTGGTGTGCAGGTTGCCCAAGACAGAGCCTCTGAGAGGCTGTGTCCAGCGCCTCTTCTCTGGTCGGGGTCCCAGCCAGGCCCTCCCAGGGCTCCTCCGCCCAACCCAAGTTCCCTGATCATAAACTCAGTGATGTTTCCCAGGCATCTGCTGCACCAGCTCTGCCTTGAGCATTGGGCATAACACAACTCTGGGTGAGAAAAGCACAATGCCTGCCCTCAAAGGACCTGCGGGCAGGAGGAGAAATGGGCTATCCAACAGGAACCAGGTCACACTCATTGATAGCCACCATGCGGGCTATGAAAGGGATGTGTGGCTCTTAAAATAGAAGCCCATGAAAACAAAAAGTGCCTTTCCCAAAGAAGAAGAGTCTAGAACCAGAGTCAAACAAGTCAGCCAAACAATGGCTCTTGCTCAGCAGGCCTCTGCCCACCCCCCAGCACCCTGCTTCTGTGCTCAGCTGCCCCGAGCTACAGGGTGGCACTTAGTGGTGACATCCAATAGGCATGCTTCGCGGGGTGGCAGGTCCCAGGGAACCTCTTGGAGGATGAGGACAGCCATGGAGAAGTCACTGCAGTGCTATGTGTGGAAATGTGGCCTGTCGTACAATAGCGCAGGTGTCCAGCAACGGGGGAATAAATGAGAACAGTGTGGAGGCCACATAATGAGGATTGTATGCCCTAGTAAGAATTAACAAAGTAGATGCACACGCAGCCACGTAAAGAGATAATACAAGCAGAGTGCAGAGTAAAGAAACGGAATGAAGGGCCCAGGGATTCAGCTCAGTGGTTCTGCGCCTGCCTCACAAGCGTAAGGTCCTGAGTTCACTCTCCGGTACCAAAAAAAAAAAGAAACAGACTAAGCCTCACGGCACAATATTGTCTATGTAAATTAAAACCACATCCAGGCTGAGGCAGGAGGATCACTGTGAATTTGAGGCCAGCCTGGGCTGCACAGTGAGTTTAAGGCCAACCTAAACTATATAGCAAGGCTTTGTCTCAAAACAAACAATAAAAAGTAGGCCTCAAACTGTGGTACATATTTTACAAGGATAGATCCATATAGGGACACACAGATATAGATAAACACCCGTATGTCACATATTTCTGCACACATGCATATCTGAGAACAGATATCAAATGCACTACGGCGGAGCCCTCCTGGAGCTCAGAGATAGAGACCAGGGGACAGAATACAGCCCTCCCAGTATTTCCACACTGACGGATGATAACTGTGTGCCACGAATTTAAGAGTGTGGTCTCTGGTCTCGTGGTCCAGTATAGAACAAGGCAACACCCATCAATGGACTCGCAAAAACCCTGACTTACCAGGGCACGGTGGTTTTATGCCCTCTTTTTCAGGGGTCTTAGGAATCATCCCAATGTTCTGTGCATTCACTTTAAGGAGTCCAAGGCCCAGAAAGGGCCTATGAGTTGTGCCCATTTCCCAGCTCCCTGGCAGCAGGAGAAGGAGCTATGAGAGGGCGCTTGGTCCCACTCCACCTGTTCCTCTTCCAGCCACGTGAGCCAGCCCAGCCGGTGCTTGTTTAAAGGGCTTGGCCGTGTTTGTGTTAGCACCTGGCCCCTGGTCTGAACCAATGCTCCACCACTAGCTTCCTTTCTCGAGGAGTTCAAGGTGAAGCCCTCATAGGGAGGGGAAGCTCGGGTCCCACTTTACCTCTGTTGTTGATGTTTTTCTCTTTCCAGGACAACCACCTCAAATCTCTGATGAGCTCACTGCCTCGCCCGGCAGGTGAGAGCAGAACCTGGCCAGGGCTTTAACAGGAGTGAATCCTGGCTGAGGAAATGATGTCATCCACCTGTGGTTCAGCATGCAGTCTCTGTGGTTTAAAGGTCCTCTTTCCCACCGCTGCTTCAGGATTCACTCTGACCGTGACTCGCCCAGGAGCCCCTGCATCGAGTGGGTGTGACGTGTTGATGTCAACAGTTTTGCTGCAACCCACAGATCCATAAAACTGCTGGCAAGAAAATTGGACGGGGTATTAATGTGGGTCGTTGGTCAAGGTGTATAGCAGTCATTTCTTGTAAAGGAGGGTATGAGCAATACTGGTCAGGGAGCCTCTCAAAGAAGCGGCCTTCGAAACATGTTCTATCATGAATGCCCTCAAATTCTGCATGGTCCAGTTGTTTCTTCTTATTAAAGCATAGCGTGTATACATGGAGGAAATTGCACATATAAGGGTGGGCCTAGCGGAAAGTCTTCATGTCCCTGGGGGCAGTAGGACCCCAGTCCTTCCCTTCTCTCTCTTCTACTTCCAACTGTGATATTAGTGGCCCCCTGCCATAAGGTACTGCTACAGTCCAAAGCAGCAGCACCAAGGGACCATGGACTGAAACCTCTAACATCGTGAACCAAGATACACCTTTTCTCTTTGTAAGTTGATTTGTCTCAGGTATTTTTTATGGTGACAAAAAGCTGGCTGACACAGGGTTCCAACTGACTTGGACAACAGTGCTTCCAGAAATCCCTTCCTGACCTGGCTGGATTGCGGGGCCCCCGCTCTATCTAGTGCTAGGCGGACATGCAATTGACAGGTGGGGAAATCTCTAGGGGAGGTTCATTTGTTGACCAGTGGAATGAAAAAGGAAGCGAGCTAACAATGTTTTCTTCTGCTGGCTGTGTTTATCTTTAGGTCGAATCTATAGCAAAATATTATTCAAACATCGTTCTAGGTCAGCCCCTGCACTGAATATGATGGGATTAAAACACTGCTCAATTTCGCCGCCTGCTGTGCAAGCGCAAGGACCGGAGTTCCATCCCCGGTACCAAAAAAACCAAAACGCTACTCAGTTCTGACACACCACCTGTCACTCCAGATGGGAGCCCTTTCAGAATGAACTCCTTGGGCTTTGCCCTAGTGAGGTCGGGAATCAGAGCCATATTCCTATCCTGGAAGCTGCTGGACACACAGAAATAAGTGACTTGTTGGTCACTAAGTTCCACAGTGAGCCAGAGGAAACCTGAACAGCCAGCCAGGAACCCAGCCTGCTCTGGTCCGCTGGGCACCTCCCAATGCATGTAGCTCTTTGCGGAGCCCCCTGGGCACAGGCTCAGGATATGATGTGGGTGCTTGGAATGAATTCCTGGCAGTTTCCTTACTGGGGCCACCTCAGAGCTTGGGGACACCGGGAGCATGCAAATAGCACAGTCACACACGACACCCAACGCTTGCTATGCTCAGATAGCTCCTAGAACTTCTTTGGCTTCTTCGGAGCTGGATGACAAGCCATAGTCTTTTTTTTCATACCAGGGATCGAACTCGGGACCTTGCGCTTGTGAGGCAGGCGGTGGAACCACTGAGCTAAATCCCTGGCCCTAGCCATAGTCTTTCGTGGTTATATCTCATTTGGGATGAAAGAAGCGCGTATGCCTGTTTACCTATCCACCACTTGTGTCATATGTTTCCCCTTCCAAGACCAGAGCCCCAGCCAATCTCTAATAATCCAAAGTGCAATTTACTGAGCACCTTCTAGACATCAGGGTCTATCTTCTATTCTATAAGCACCTCGAAAGGTAGGCATGGCTTCTCCCTTTGTACAGATGAAAAACCGAGACTCCCCAAGGTCATCTGGTTAGTACCCAGCAGAGTTGGGATTTGAACTGGGTTTGTCTAGCTCCAAAGCCCGGGCTCTCACCAGGAGTCTTCACAGGGCTTCTGAAAGGCGCCTGGGGAACCACCCAGCCCAGTCCTGAGGGCTTTTGGAGCCTCTTCCGGGAGACAGACGGCTGCTGCCGTAAGATGGAGCACTCGGAACAGAGAAAACAAAGAATCTTGCCCTAGTGAGATCCTGGGGGCTCCCAGGCCCCACCCCTTGGACGAAT